CGACCGACGCCATTCGATATGCGGCGCGGCCGTTGCCAACGATGTGGATACTCACATGACGAGACGCGAGACGATCGACGATATCATATTAACGGGTCCTGCGACACAAACGAGACGCGCGCGAACGGATAGAAACGAACGACTAAATGCGGACGGCCGTCTGTAGCACCGCCGCTCACAGGTCGGCCATGTTGAACTGGCAGCTGGCTCGCCGCTGCTGCGCGGGTGACGTCACAGCGTGTTTTCGTCACGTGACGCGCCAGGCCTGTACGCGTGTGAGCGAGACAACTTGTCTCTATTCGGGCGAATAAATTATTTCATAAAATTTCATTTTTTGAAATAAATCCTTTACGCCAAATGTTTCTACCAATGTTAGATTAATCTTGATCTCAATTCTTAGATCGGTATTCTTGGTCAATTCTTATATTTAAGATTGTCTTAATACAATTTTAAGATATCATGAACCAATCAGACAGCTACATTAGTATCTGAAGACTTACTTATGACTTAAAAACAGGCTGTGAATATCGATTTTACTCTTCATCTTTTTTTCATTCTTAGAACAAGAAAAGATAGAGTTAATTGAATCAGGATTCAAATTAAATTACATTGGAAACGGACAATATCTGTTTTATGATGCTCGTTAGCAATAATTAGCATTTGATAAGTTACTTTACAAAAAGTAACTTGTTACTGTAAAAATATGTTCTTTTTTTTTAAAAGAAATTCGTTCCTGTTATTGATTTTAAAAAGTTATTTGTTATCATTACCGTTATTTAAAAAGTACAATTTTTGTTATTTTCATCGAATTTTGTTAATTTTGTTTGTTTTTTTATAGTAGCATTCAATTGTTTTGGTCACTAATTGACCAGTTCAATTCGAAATCTACAGTGGTTGTAATGGTTGTGATGGCTATGGTTATACATGACATGATTAAATATCAAGATCTGAATATATAGATTTTCGCATAATGCATAAAGCATAAGAGAATCAATCAATTATAGTTCTTTATTTTGTGGAAAGAAAAGATTGATTTGTCATTTATTTTTATGCGTTATACATTACGCGTTATGTAAAGGTTTGTACTCTGACCTTAATACTTGCCATTACTTAAAAAAAATAAGAAAATGTAACTCATATTTGGAAAAAAGTAACAGTAACGACGATATAATGCGTTACTTTCTAACTCCGGCGTTAGTATTATTAAACTGCTTGTTAATTTAATTTGTGATTTATTACGTACTCCAGTTCCAGTTATGGATTATGTTTCAAGACTGACAAATAGTCAGCACACAGTTTGCTTGAACTAGAAATTTTAAGATTCACAAAAATATTATTACGCAAGACCTGTTTTGATCAAACATATATTTTTTGCTTATTTATATTGATCATGTTTCAATCAATTTTCACTTAATGTTAATTCCTTAATAAGATTCCTCGATAAGTATTAGCTCGATCAAAAAATTCCATATTCGTTTTTTCTTCTATCATTCTGAATCGAAAAGAAAATTATCATTAGACTTTTAGAATTTATACTAAAATTTATTATCATGTATATTTCGGAAATAATAATAATAAGCTTTATTGACGTGCAAAATATAAATTTACAATCAAGAGAGTATAAAATTAGAGTACTTTTAAAAGATGAAACACCAATAATATTGCTGTTCGTGAGCCTACATTTTATTATAATTAATTAGTTACCACACAAAACCAAGTATCTGATAAAATTACAATTATAAAAAATGAAAAATGATATATATGACAATGAGCAGAGACTTTAATATAAAGACTGATTATAAAATAGTATAATAAATTATATAGTTAGCAATCTCTTCAAAATCATTAATAGTAACTACAGTATATTGTTAATAAACTAATTAAAATCAAAATTTATTGCTGAATATTAGCATTTCGTATACATGCATGATTTATCGCAGTATGAATAATTGAAGTGTTTTGCGTTACGCGCGATAATTCATGTTTCACTGAAGTTTTCTCAAACATTTCACCTGCCCCAAAAATTGTGACTGTAAAACGTCTTCCGGCTTACCGTCAACCGCGTAAACACACAAATTCCAGCCAAGGGAATGGCAGAAAAAGAAAACTAAAAAGCTTAAGAAGAGAATGAAAAAGAACAGGGAATTCCTATCAGCGAAACGGTTTCTGGTACGCCACGAGCAAACAAACAAATACAACTTTTTACTGTAAAAAAGAAAAAAGTTTAACTTAAAACCTAGATAATTAATTATATGTAAAGTTTCTGAGTATGTGTGTGTATGCGTGTGAAAAATATTCTCACGAGTACGTTTATATTTCGTTTATAGATCTTTTGAAGAAAAATAATTTGCAGTGAATAAAAAACTTGATTTTTCATCTCATGAATTAAAGCCTTTATACGATATACATATTAGTAATACTTAAAAATGTATGACTTAAATTGTTAAAACTTGTAATAAGCATAAAATATTTAATTAATTAAATTTATTTATTTTGCCAAACGTTAATAAAAAATAATGTGCTTCTTATTTAAATTAAATTAAATGAGTCTTGCGGACCCAACTATATAAAGTAATTTAAATCATACATTTGGGTCTGTAAAAATCTATAACGTTATTAATTCTATAAAGTAATTCTATAAAATAATTTAAGTTATACATTTTCCAATAACTGACTTGTTAGATTTATGCAATTTATATTAATTAAAAGACACTAAATTAATTTCAAGAAATCGAAATGACATACCAAAAAAAACGAATAATAAATATATTTTAATAATCCAAATTTGTGTGTAGAATACAAAGTAAATTTAATTGTTTGACATTTTTGAGATTTCAAAGAGATTTAATTATAATTAAGTGGCTCTAATAGATATGTCAGCTCTCCTGAAGAGTTAAAATATAAAATACATTTATCTTAAAAACATAAGCAAGTAATATCGAAATTTATCATCGTTCCTACCGAGGAAAACAAAAACACGTGTTTTTACGGGAAACACTTATTTCTTTAATCCGCCAGAGAAAACCGGGGCTTGTACGTGGCATGTTACGTCGATGCGTGTGTGTAGTGCGGAACGCGTGTGGATATGCGTGACACGAGTACGTCGTGTGCGTGTCGCGCGCACAACAGAATAGAACAGAAGAGAAGAGAAGAGAAGAGGAGTAGAAGCAAAGGCGGGAGTTCTCCCCAGGCGCCCTTCTCTCTTCGATCCTTGGCAACATATCTTCCCTCTCGCGCCACCCGCGCGCGCGACCCCACGCGCCTCGCGGTCGGTACTACGGCCCTAAGCACCCCCTCCGTCAAACTCTTCTGGCCATCCCAACGGCACTCTCATGCGATGGATAGCAGGAAAGTGAGGCGAGACGCGACGCGGAGTACTCTGTGGAGTAGAAGGGAAGAGGAAAGAGAAACGAGAGAAGAGTAGGGAGAAGAGAGAGAGAGAGAGAGAGAGAGAGAGAGAGAGAGAGAGAGAGAGAGAGGGAGAGAACGCGCACTCTCTTGGTTCACGGCTTGACGGAGTTAGGTGGGGGAGCGGATCGTAGTACAGCACGGCGCGGTGCGGCGGCGGGAGGAGGTTTAACCAGACGGGTGGGAGGGAGCGCGCACGTTCGGCGGGAGGGGAGGGTGTACGGGCCGCGGGAAGGAGCCGTGCCTCCCTGCCGTCCGCCCGCAGTGCGCGCTACGCGATATCACTGACCGGTCATGTGTGTGTCACTCTCACGTTCACACTGGTACCGTTCGGAGTACTTGGTTACCGCGCTGGTGTTGCTACCGTTGCCGTTATCGTCCGCTCCCGCGTAGTGCGCGGCGACGAAAAGTGCTTCTACACACCCGGTGCGCGGCTCCCGGAAGTTGAAAAGTGTGCCCGGTCGATCTTGGTCTCGCGCGCGCGGACGTCAAAACAGTGGGAGAGAAGACGCGAGAGAATCCCTTTCTTTCACTCCCTCGCGTCGTCTCCACGCAGTCTTCGCGGCACGTCGCGCGTCGTCGGTCGACGACGCGTATATCATCGTTAATTCGAAAATAAAAGCGCACAGGTGGAGAGACGCGCGGACTCCTTTATTGCCATAGGGACGCGCGCGCGCGCGCGCGCGCGCCGGGAGAGAGCAGTGGGAAAACACCGTCAAGTTAGGCGCGAACGGCGATCACACGACAGAGAGAAAGAAAGAGGGAGAAGATATAACTGTTCAAGTTGCGCGAGAGAAGTCTCGTATTTACGTTTTCACATAAATAAGTGTCTCGCGCGCGTCCAGACGTGCAAAACAGGAGCAAGGAGTGGCTGCGGATTGTGTTGGTGAGGAAGGAGAGAAAGAGAGAGAGAGAGAGAGAGAGAGAGAGAGAGAGAGAGAGAGAGAGAGAGAGAG